TAAAGACAGGTTTAACAGGAAAAATGAGAACAAACAACAATATTCTGTGGATGCATATAAACAGAATCAAGGTACCAGTCCATATAGAAAAGTCCATGTGTTTGGATGTTGACCATTATGTCACACATCTAAATTAAAGCCATAGAGTCCAACTGCAAATGCGTAACATTGTGCAAAACATATACTAACGCAATTTGGGACCATGAGTACATATGCAAAGAAGATAGAGGTGGGAAGAAAGGGAAGGAGAAAGAGGAGAGCTGTTACAGGGCAGAAAAGAAAGCACAAAAAGGGCTTAAAAACAGTAAAATGGTAGGTTAGGGAAATGGAAATGATGAGGGGAGGAAGAATGCAAGAGGAAAGGGATGGGACAACATCAAGAGCCTAGGGATCACCAGCACGAAGAAAGTGTCATCCAGACAATAAAACTTCAAGTATTTGATAAACAACTAAATTCCAGCAAATACCATCCAGTAGAACCTTGTCGTCCGGAAATTCTCCACATTATAATAAAGGGAAGAGGCGAGTTCTTCCATAATGCGTATATCAGCAACTTTTCGGAGCCAAAGGTGAAGTGGAGGTGGCCCAGAGCGTTTCCAGTACAGGGGGGATGCACGCTCTGGCCGCGTTCATCAGGTGAAATAGGAGAGAGAACGTTTGTATCGGGTCACTACTGATATTGCAAATATTTCTCTAATTGTAGGATAACGTTTTTTTTCCTCCATCACGGTACATGTTTAATTAAACATGGCTAAAAAAGTGATTTCCACTCACCTCATAGTTCTAGCCTCCAGCGCTGACTGGCGGAACGGACGGGGGAGGGGGCGGGTACAGCAGGCTCTGCCTCTAGATAGGCAGAGCCAGCTGTTACTCACGCAGCTGGGCGGATCTCAACGTCCATGTCGGGATCCGCTCAGGCGTCTCAGTATACTGCGAGCTGTAGCTGGCGGTATACTGAGCTTAGGGTAACGGGAGGACGCTAGTTTGTGTCCTCCCGTTACCCTAAGGAGAACTATGGGGAAAAACACTGACCCCATAGTTCTCCTTTAAGCTATCCAAGTAAAACAAAACATTGCAGGACTGAAGCAATACCAATCTAAAGTAATTTACATTTTTTTTATACAAACTCATGATATTAGTGGAAAGTAATTGATACAAAGCAGGTGTTGGTATCCAGAGACCAGATGAAGAAATACTTGCCTGTACAAAGTCATCTCTATCCAAGGAAACTGGTATGGAGCAGCAGCTTAAAGAGTGATAACCAGCACAGGTTTCGTCCGAAACTACTGTCTAGTAGCCAAATCATGATCCAAAGTTGTGATATAAAACAAGACAAAAGATCAGGATGGGCCTTAACGATGCAGAGTTATGGCATGTGTCCAAGGCCAAAAAGCCAGAAAATATGCCATGAAAAAAATAAAGAATCAAATGCTTGTGATTATAAAGGAAATATGTCTGCAATAACCGGGCATAGTCTGCATTTTCCAGTTTAAATTTAGTGATGTCATCAGAGTAGGTTGGGTCACATAATGCACAGTTACACCACACTCGCACTGTACCTTTAAAAGAGGCAGCGTGGTATGATTCCGAAGTATTCAAACAGGTGGAAAGATCCAGAAGGTCAGCAGGCAAACCCTCTGGGATACCTATGAGCCATGCACAGATGAACCAAATCGGCAGGAGAATACCTGGGGTAAAGGAATATGCAGGAAAGAAAGTAAAAACAGAGATTAAATAAATAAACTGCATAATGTCCATATCAGTTGCAACATTATTTTCACTTAAACCAAGGAAGCCAAGAAACATTTGCTACCTGAGTTTTTCACAATACACGCTTTATTTAGAATATACCAACATTTTTGCTGGCTACCACAGCCTGTATGAAAATCTGCCCCTATGTAACAATGGTCATATTTTAAACAAAGTGATACAATATATTTTTAATAAAGAGCTATATAGCCTTCGATTTTGTTAGGTTAGACTTTATGGTTTTGACATGTGATATTTTTTCTAAAACAATACAGGACTAATGATTTTAGGACAGTGGTGGAGCGCCAGGGCCCAGTCACAGCAGCAACCGCTGCTACCCTGGTAGTTCTGCCAATGACTCCAAGCTATAGAGAGACTACAAATCCCAGCAATACATTATACAGCAATGCAGAATACCACCAGCAATAGAGGACTACAAATCTCAGCAATACATTATACAGCAATACAGAATAATATGAAGCAACATACTCTGTGTTGCTCACCAGGGCTGTGCTGTGTCTCAGGAGGATGTGCAGTGTCTGACCATGGCTGTAACTAGAGCTGCAACAATTAAATTATTAAATCAATTATAATCGATAATGAGAAACGTTGGCAACGATTCTCATCATCGATTAGTTGCTTTTCAATTACGCTGATCTCCTCTCCGCTGGTTCTGGCTGCATCGGTCTGTGTCCCTTTTAATCCCTGCTGCTCTCCCCGCCTTTATCGGCAGAGGGGACACAGACGACTGCAGTCGGCACCAGCGGGGAGGAGAGACGGCTGTGACTGCTTTCCCCTCATTGCCCCGACCCCCCGTACCTCCGCTGCTGCCCCCATATACTTTCACTGCTACCCAGGTCCTTCTCTGCCCCGGCCCATTCCTCCGCTCACCCAGCCCGTTCTCTGCGGGCAGGGGAAGGAGATGTACGGCCGGACAGGCGGTATCAAAGGCAGTCCCCGTGAGGTTCCCACAAGGCTGCCTGAGGCCCCCATTTTTAGAAAAAAATGGGTGACTGCGCTGACCAACGTGTGCTTGCAATTTGCAAGCAAAATTCAGAATACAGTGCACAGCTACAGATAGCAGGAATAAGAGGGGGCCAGATTGTGCAGGTAATTCCATTTTCCCAAATTGCTTGGGAAAGTGAATTTGCCCTTTAGGGCTGGTGCAGACTTGGGCGATCGTGTGTGGTTTCATACAGCGTTGCCGCGGCAGCACCATTGATTTCAATGGGGTTACATCAGCGTGGCAATCGCTGACAAAAGGTACATGCTCCTTTTTTCGCGACACGCACTGTGCAGTGTTTTCAACTTCGATTATGGCCGATTGAACAGGCGGAATTGTGTCTGGAAACTGCACAACCTGCCTGTCGCGACTGGGATGCCATTAGAAAAAATGGCACTGGCAGCGCAATCGGCGTTGGTGTGCAATTCTGTGACTGCCCGGCCACAGAATTTTCATTTATTTTATTATTTTTGACTTTATCGCCTTTTAATTCTTTTAATTTTTATTTATTTCCATTTTTAATTATTTTGTATTTTTTACATTATTATGTATTTACATCTTAATTTATTTTATTATTTTTGACTATTTTTTTCACTTGAATTTATTGCTATCACACAGGGGATAACAAGCACCTGTGTAATAGCATTTGTAGGTGACAGGTTCCCTTTATTGACCCTGTCACCTCCAATACAGGAGTTCTAGCACAGTACTGTGCTCGTTCTCCTGTGACAGGAAGGTTGTGAGTACAGCAGTCCTACGTCACTGCTCATAGCAGAGAATGGACCCTAAGGCCCCATTCACACTGAGCGATTCGCAAATTGTGCGTTTGTCGCACGATTTGCATTTTGCGCGATATCGCGCAAATGCCTGCATTGAGCAAGCTAGAATTGCGGAAAAATCGGCTCAAAAAGGGTCCTGCTGTAGCGACACACGACCCGCGACAGCGACGGACAGAGCCCCATTGCCATGCATTGGAGAGCGATATCGCGCGGTAAATAGCCGCGATATCGCGGGAATTACCGCGCGATAAATCGTTCAGTGTGAACGGGGCCTAAAGACCACGGCAGAAAGGGAGCCAGCGGGGTGGGCAGAGAGGCAGCGGAGGGCGGTAACAGAGGCAGTGGTTGGGGACACAGGAGGAGGGGCAGCAATACAGAGAGCGAGCGAGAGATGAATAAAGAGATAGAGAATAGAGAGAGGAAGAGAGAGAGAAAAAGAGAGAGATGTATACAGAGAGAGAGAGAGAGAGAGAGAGAGATGTATACAGAGAGAGAAAAGAGATGTATACAGATCGATGAATACAGAGAGAGAAGAGATGAATACAAAGAGAAGAGAGAAATGATAGAGAGAGAGAGAGAGAGAGAGAGAGAGAGAGAGAGAGAGAGAAAGGCAGAGAGGTTATAATTTAAAAGAAGACAAGAGGGAGAGAGATATGAATACAGAGAGAGATGAAGAGAGAGAGAGATGAAGAGAGAGAGAGAGAGAGAGAGAGAGAGAGAGAGAGAGAGAGAGAGAGAAAGGCAGAGAGGTTATAATTTAAAAGAAGACAAGAGGGAGAGAGATATGAATACAGAGAGAGATGAATACACAGATAGAGAGAGGAATACACAGAGAGAGAGAGATGAATTGAGAGAGATGAATACAGAAAGAGAGAGATGAATAGAGATATGAATGCAGAGAGAGATATGAAGAGAGAGAGACAGAGAGATATGAAGAGGGAGAGAGAGCGCAAGAGATGAAAACAGATAGAGAGAGAGAGAGAGATAGAAGAATACAGAGAAGGAGGTATACAGAGAGGGAGGTATACAGAGAGAGAGAGAGAGAGAGGAATACAGGGAGCGATGAGAGAGGAATACAGAGAGAAAGAGAAAGACAGAGAGGTTATAATGTAAAAGAAGACGGAGGGAGAGAGATATGAATACAGAGAGAGATGAAGAGAGAGAGAGATGAAGAGAGAGAGAGAGAGAGAGAGAGAGAGAGAGAGAGAGAAGAATACAGAAAGAAAGGCAGAGAGGTTATAATGTAAAAGAAGACGAACAGAGCAAGTGAGAGGAGAAGGGAGGGAGACCTACAGAAAAACCGTATGCTCAGTATGCAGCCTCTCGCTCACCGTAGCTGCTCCTGTTCACTTGGGTGTCCCGCCCACTATGTCCTGCTTCCTGGTCACATGGTTCCTGCGACATCACAGGGCATTGCAATCTGCAGGATAGGAATCAGCTGCTACCCTACCGTATGTTGTGTGTGGAGAAGAGTGACGTGCAGTGCATACAGCTATGGCAGCCCGGGGTGAGTTATGCTTATCCTTCCAGTGCCGGGACAGGGGTAGAACAGGCTATGTAAGGTACCTGTGGCAGGACCATACGGGGTCTTTCTTATAAAGTGTGTGGGATATGCATTGTATGGGAATGTGACAGTCATACGTACTGTGTGTGAATGTAGACAGGAGAGAAGGCTGACTGCTGCTTTGTGGAGGGTAACAGTGACAATAGAGAATGGCAGACTGGAGATAGTTATTACAAGGAAATACAAAGAAAGAAACTGGAGCATATGATACTTAAAAATCCAGGGGGGCTTCCAGTTGCGTGACGGGGCTTGGGGGCTTCCAGCTGCGTGACGGGGGCTCGGGGGCTTCCAGCTGCGTGACGGGGTCCGGGGGCTTCCAGCTGCGTGACGGGGCCTGGGGGCTTCCAGCTGCGTAACGGGGCCCGGGGGCTTCCAGCTGCGTGACGGTTAATATGTAGCAGTCATTTATAGATATTATGTTAGAATGGTATAAGGATTAAGTACTTACCCGTAATAGGTGACAATCATCCAATTTGACAAAGTGCCATGTATAGGTGTTCCTTTTGGAGCCTTCTGGGGTTCAGAGGCTGTGACTGGCATATAAAAGCTCATTCCTAGGATAGTGTGGTTTACTACGGGTTGAGAGATTGTAAGAGCTGAGGATAATTGCCTGTAAAGTCCACAATAAGTGTCTGTCAGTAGAGCTGCCTCCTAGTCAGGCAACAGTACGTGGCACACCATATGTTTGTAGTTACAGCCAACAGAGGCAGCACTGTGTAGGGTAGACCTGTTACGGTGAAAGATGAATGGGGAGACTGTGGGGTGCTCTATGCAAAGCAGTTTCTATGGTGAAGTGCGAGGGGTGGCACGGCAGGGTCATGATCTACCCATCGCATGGCCATGATCAATGGGTACTTCGTGACTGACCTGTTCCTGCTCTAGGGAACACATATTTTTGAGCACCCAACAAAAATCCCAGTAAAGGTCCCAGAAAAATTGTGAAATCACACTGGAGCCATTAATATAAAAATGACTAAATCTGTACCCAGACTATGCACATTTAGGCCCCATTCAAACTTGAGTGTTCCTTTGTGTTATGTTAGTGCACATTTGGTAATGGGCATTAAATAAGAACTCCAGGATTTTTGTTGTATTAACCCTTCCAGTGGGGCTACCCCTGCAGTGCAGGGGTTAAGTGCTCGTTTGTGTCTAGGTGCTAAAATGTACTCACCCGAAACTCTGAGCCTCCCTCCAGCCTGTCCCCTGCTCCTCCTCCGCCGATTTAGAATGTTCCTCAGCGTCTTCACATCTATACACTGTGTAAAGAAGTGATGATTTACTGGACCTTAGACCGCCGCAGAGGAGCGGGAGAGACATTCCAAGGACTAGTCAGAGCTTTGGGTGAGTATATCTTTCAGGGTTATCCAGAAAAGAGTGAAGAGACTGGAGAAGGCAGGAGAAGTGAACAATCTAGGACAACATAGAATTGCTGATTTGGGAAAAATTCTCCAATTCAGTTTACTTTCCAGTTCTGCTATGTTGTCCTAGATGGTTCACTTCTCCAAACTCTTCACACTTTTGTGAATAACCCTGTAAGTTTTTGTTTTGTTTTTTAACCTAGACACAACCGAGCACTTAACCCTTGCAGTTCAGGGGTAGCCCCACTGCAAGGGTTAATACAACATTTTTCCTGGAGTTATGCTTCAAAGCTCTCGTTGTATGCCAATACACCACAATGGAGGAAAAAACGCACATGAACCCTCTTTTAACTCCATGCACCACAACGGACAGTATTTTCTTCAATCTGTAATGTGTTGGGTTCTACTGTACAATACATTGGCATGCCATTCACAATTAAATTAGTGCATGGATAGAGTAGGGAAGGATTAAATCTCCTAACAGGTTTTTATTGTGACCTTTGGGGGGGGTTTCCTTCACTTCCTGCCCTGAAAACACAATAGAAAATGAGGAACTCTATCTAAAGTGAAGGAAACTCTGCCTTTCAAAGTTGTCATAGGACAATGTGTCCCAACTGGAGGATTTTCCCTCGTTTCTTGCGTATTCCTATTGGAATCCACTATGAGGTTTCTGCTGGCTGTCAGTCACACCAAGCATAGGGAGTAATCTTCCCAGCAAGGTCGCGGTGCAATACCCTGACTCCCTTTTTAGACTTCTGCTGTAGAGATTTCTAGCCGGCAAGGTTCTTCATTCAATGAAAGACCTTTGTACTTTTGCATTTATAGTATTCACATATACAGTATGCATTCACGGTACTGTGATTTCAGTATTCTATTTATATTGTATTTTTTCTTTTCCTCAGAGAATGTCAGTTTGCTCTTCAAGCTGTATTGTTTGTTGGTAATGACTCTGGTGGCTGCTGCATATACTGTGGCTTTACGATACACAAGAACAGTAACAACTGAAATGTACTTTTCTACAACGGCTGTTTGTGTGACTGAAGTTATAAAGTTAATACTGAGTGTAATTATCCTGGCAAAGTAAGTACCACATTCCTTATTATTTTGTTATATAATCTCCCCCCCAAAAAAAGTTACATCTCTGTGCACACCAAGGTGTGATTTTGCGGATTTAGTGTGGCCCAGTGCTTTACGTTTCGATGGACTTCTATAAAAGAGCAACTCTGCTTTATTAATGTTGCTGTAGATTCTGAAGGCAGAGGAAGCATATTTGTTCTAGGTCAATGACTCGCAGGGTTCTTCACCAACTGGTGATGAGTTTGGAGAAGTGAACAATCTAGGTCAACATAGCTGTACTGGAACGTGGGCTGAATTGGAGAATTTTTCCAAATCGTCTACTTTGGCCTAGACTGTTCACTTCTCCTGCCAAACTCTTCATCCTTTTGTGAATAACCCGGTCAGACAGAAATACCATATTATAAATTGAGAAGCGGTTTCACCCTTTGGACTGTGCAGTGTGGCAGAAGTGTTTGAATTACAAAAGTGGTTGTATTTAAATGTGTTTCATTTAGCCATCAGAGGACCTTAGGCTTGGGGATATGACCTACAAAAAGTCAAGGTTTCTGGGGAACATCTCCTATGCCCCGCTACTCTTATTTGCAGTTCCTGGCTGCCAAAAATACAATGCGGCAGCTGCTGTCAAAATGCAGCCGGACTTGCAGAAGATAGCCTGAAAGTTGTGTTACATGGTAAGGCAGCGGTGATCAAAGGCCACCGTTTTTGATCTACATAGCCATGAATTAGTAAATACAATGTATTGAAATTGTGATGTAATACTATTTCATTCATATGTAGATCAAAGGGGTGACCTTAAAGGAGAACTATGGGGTAAGTGTTTTTCCCAATAGTTCTCCTAAGGGTCACGGGAGGACATAAACTAGCGTCCTCCTGTGACCCAAAGCTCAGTATACCGGAAGCTACTGTCGAGATCCGAAAAAAGCACGGAGGTCTCCCAGCTAGGAGATAACTGGGAGTGGCGGTTCATGAAAATATCGACAGCACAGTGACACTTCTAAGAAATCCTAATTACTTGAATTTATGTTCATTACGGGGACACTGCAATATTGCTATCAAAGGATACCTTGTTTCCGAAATCCTTAAATGGACACAGATCCGTAAAGGACAAACATCCACATACTGATTCCCCTGGTGATACAGGGCAATTCCCCTCTATCCACAGGGATAGAACTGTGACCATTTCTGAAGATCACCTGTAGAGCTGCTAGGGATCAACACCACTAAATGAAGAATCCCCTTAAGGATATATAGGAGGTTTACATTGTCAATGTATGTGTGGGGCCCGAGGTTTGCATGAGTGTTACAACGTTGTCTTTTAAATTTTGAAATTAGAGAAGCACATCAATGGTTTTTGGCATCTTGATTACTTTAATAAATTTTGTACTATTTTTCACTGATACAACTGGTCTCGATTTATTTTTATGAACCGCCACTCCCAGTTATCTCCTACCTGGGAGACCTCCTTGCTTTTTTCATATGTCCAATTGGTTCAATAAATCCTAGATGACCAAGTCCACTCTTTGAACAGAAATATACACATAGGTTTTGTTCTCCAGGAATACCCCTCCCCCCTTTTTTTTACTGTCGAGATCCACCCAGCTGCGTGATTGACAGAGGCAGAGCCAGCTGTACCCTCCCCCGTCCGTTCCGCCAGTCAGCGCTAGAGGATCGGGGAGGGAACCCCTGCAGGGAGCTGTGAGTGACAGTCACAGCTCTCTGCAGGGACATGATCGAGAAGTGAGCGAGCAACAGTATGTGTTCGCTCACTTCCCGATCTATTGAGCCGACCTGTGACAGTTTTATTGTCACACGTCGGCTAGAAATATGAGGTTGAGTGAAAATCACTCACCTCATAGTTCTCCTTTTAATATGTATTCTTATTTAGAGTCTATCTACACTCATGAGCAAAAGATAGTGCACCCTCTTTGAATTCGATGGTTTTAAGTATCAGGACACAATAAAAATCATCTGGTCCTTAGCAGGTCTTAAAATGAAATAAATGCAACCTCAGTGGAACAACAACACATGACATATTACACCGTGTCATTATTTTTTTTACAAACATAAAGCCAAAATGGAGAAGTTATGTGTGAAGAACTAAGTACACCTTTACTGCTTCCACAGGATTTAAAAAGCGAAGTAGCAGCCTGGTGCTGCTAATACAATGTCCTAGACTAACTGCTTAAGGTCTGCCGTATGTAAATAAACGGCATCCTGAAGCGGTTATACCAAGACCACGGCTGCCGCCTTTAACAGCCAGTGATGGCTGTTACATACAAGCATTCGGATGCCTGTAGAGCTAATTAAGGCTGATAAAAGTTAATAAAAGGGTTAAATTGTATCTATAACCAAATATTTTTTCTTAGCTTGGGATAAAGTGGGCAGAATTAAAACCATTGTCTGGTATTACTGCTGTCAGGGTGTTCCTTACTTACTGCCCTGGGGACATAAAAAGATTTCCTTTTTTCATTTAGAAATTCCTTTGCAATGCTTTGTACCAGAAACATCGTTTTATTGTAGATTGAAGCAGAATCAATTATAGAATAAAATGTATACTTTTTATCTACAGCAATACTACATATTTCAGAATGAACACTGGTGAAGAATAAAAAAAACTTTTTCATTTGATCTCTTTTTGTCTATATAATACATGCAAAATAAAAACAATGAATGTATCACTTTATCTTCAATAATGACAGGGTTATTCACAAATAAACAGGCTCATGATGGAAATGTAAAAATGGCTCAAGTTCATAAGAGGTATAGAGGTAGGAGAACTGACGTTTTTAGAGAACTTCCACCTTCTTTGCATCATGACCTATTTATAAAGAAGAGAAATTGTATGTCCTATAGGTAATCTGCTTCTGATGTAACTGCTGTGTGACAGATTCCCTTCATCATAGTGCAATGTAATGGTTCCTGAAAGAAAAAGGATTGCAAATATGTGGCCTGCCAATTCTCGTGGTACAGCAGTTGGTGTTTCTTGTATTACAGATAACTGGTAAAAAAGCAAATTTTAGTCCTTGAGTTGGCTTTGTACCTCTGGATGATCTTCGATGTACTCTGTGAGATGGGGCTTACATTTTCGCCTAACCCTGGAGCTAGGCCTCACCCAGCATTGTTCATACACTTTAACATCCAGAAGTAGCTTTCCCATTAAATAGTGGGGCTGGTGGCTGGGGTTTAGCTCCACAATGGGGACCGTGTGATAGTGCTTTTTACTTACAGACATTTAAGTTTTGAAATATTTGAAAGGCTGGCAGGTTTGGTTGAAGTGGAAACTCATCTAATTTGTTTTTGCCCACATTACAGAATTATTTCTGTGGAGCTGAGAACAATACAATGTCTATATAAACAATGGGACATAAAACACCAGTTTGAAAATGTGTTTTAAAAATAAAGTCACCAAAAACCAGTATAATTCCCCTTTTAATCTTTCTGTGTTGAAGCTCTTTATTTAGCACTACATTTCATTTAATAAAATGGAGTTTCTGTTATCAGTCATTGTTGGATCATATGACGAATGTTTAATTTGCTGCATGTTCTGGAAATGTTCTACTCTGTTTTTTTCCATAGAGAAACTGGCAGCGCTAGTAGATTGATCAGTTCTTTAAGGGCGAATGTGTTGGGAAGTCCAATGGAGATGTTGAAGTTGTCTGTACCTTCCCTGGTGTATGCTTTGCAGAACAACATGGCCTTTGTGGCTCTTAGTAATCTTGATGCAGCTGTGTACCAGGTAAGTAGCAGTGATAGAAGAGCTTAGGAGAGTAACAAATGCATTTTGTAGGACTGTTTGAACTTTCAGAGTATTCAGCTAATCCTAAACCTGTTTTCCCCAATGTATTATGTGTCTCTAGGTGACTTATCAGTTGAAAATCCCGTGCACTGCTTTATGTACAGTGCTGATGTTAAACCGCTCATTAAGTAAACTTCAGTGGCTTTCTGTTTTCATCTTATGTGGAGGAGTCACTCTAGTCCAGTATAGTCCAGTAGAGACTACTAAAGTTCAGGTAAGCTTCTGCACTTTTATATTTACGTTTTACTGCCCAACTGACTCGCTTTAATATGCTGGATGAAATGGAAACACTTCATTTTAATTTGCAAACATTTCTTAACATGTGTTACAGACTGTTTCCTTTGTCTCTGGTCCTGAGACTGAGTATGTGTAGCTTAACTCGTAAATGGAAGACCAACCATTAATATTCAAGCACAGATATATTGAGTCATAAACTGAAGGATGTCAGCATTACACAGGAAGGAGAATTCTCAGTATATTTTAAAGGATACTTTTCCCATTCAATTTATACCTGTTAGCTGGAAGTGAGAAAAGAGCAGAAAAAGCAGAAACAAGAAAGAGAAAAGGTAAAAAACATAGTCACTCAAGAAGAAAAAAAAAAAGTAAAGCACGCACTACCTTTTTCCAGCGCAAAGTAACACAATGGATTTGGTGTGAACTAGTCCCATTCATTTTTCGGTGCTTTCCGTTGAAAAACTTATCGCAACACAACAAATCGGAAGGAATTGAAAGGTACAATTGCAAGTCAACAGATCCTCCGTTGACTTGCGATTTCCTTCCGATTTTGGTGTGAATGCATCCTTAAAGAAACTATTGAAAACTGGGCCTTTCTGGTGGACAAAGCTATTGTATTTCCTGTCAAAGTTTGGCACTGCCCACCTCCAACAGGTATCCTGGGCTGTCCAATGGGGTGTTTGTCACAGGTGGGGAAATAATGTAAGTTCTGGAGTTGAGAGATTTAGTGCAGAGTTCAGACAGCGAGGAGGAAGAACTGGAGGAAGGTAGTGATCACATGTTTAGCAATAAATTAACTGTTCTCATCTCCACCTCACAATATGTTCTGGTTACTGACTCGCCCCGGTGTTTACGGGTCATGTGACAGCTGCGTAGGACTGGGCTGTATGGTCAAACCTCTTAGTATCGTTGGTTTCCTCCTGTATAGTGTGCTGTCTCTGGAATGACTAGCATAAGAGGTATGAATATTTGATTATGTTAAACAGGTAAGCTATTGTGACATGGAGAAAAGGAAGCACCCTTCTACTGTGCAGGTTCCTAAGGCCCCGTTCACAGCGTTGATTACACTTCATGGTACTGTGTGTCTATTTTGCAGATAAAATAATTCTTGTTTGCAGAAAATGTATTGCTTTTGAATAGGTTTGTGTGTGTGTCTCCTGTCCTGTCTAAATTGTCTCTTGTACATATGCATGTGAAATAGGGACCTTAGATTGTAAGCTCCTTGAGGGCAGGGACTGATGTGAATGTACACTATGTAAAAGCGCTGCGTAAATTATCGGCGCTATATAAATACCTGTAATAAAATATATATATATATTTTATGATACTTGCACTGTTTTAAAATGTCTATATATCACGGTCTTGTTGTTGTTGTTGTTATTATTATACATTATTTATAGACCTTACCTCATATCTTTGGTCACTAAAAGCCCCCCAAATCTTGACCAGTATGTTTTTACAAGAACATGATGATGCATGGCTGCAAAAAATGTAGCCTTTCCTTGTTCTTATCAGGTTGCTCTCTGTAACCCTAACTCTGCTCACCCTAACTTGAAACAGGAAGGGAACAGAATTTATTGTGAATTGAAGAACTGGTAATTTGCCTATAATCAGCTTTCCTATAGTAGGAAAAAAAGCTTGTAAATCATTTGAGATTTGAATAGCTTCTTAAAGTAAACATGTCAGAGAGGTATAGGGGCTGCCATTGCCTGGCTTTTTCTAGCATTAAATTATTTTTCAAGAGGTGTGAGGTCCTGTTCTCTTTGCATGTTCCGGGTTAGTAAATCAAAGCATTAAAATTCTGCATGAAGGGCTTCCTGTCATATTTGTCTATGTATGTGTTCTCTTTCCTTTTTTTTTTCTGCAGCAATTCAGGAAGTATAAAATACCTGATGATTCTGGCAGTTATTTTCCTCTAGCTTGTTTCAGGTGGCACCAGAGCGCACATGCTCCAATTCTTTCTAATAAAACTGCACACAGCCTGCTCCATCTTTTATTTCTCGAGCTCACATCATCGTTAGCAATGCCTAATGTGACGATTCTGATTGCCTGTTTGATCGCAGTGGAGCCTCACTCTCAAGGTACAGAGCAGCAGTGTGCTTGGGCCATGCAGAGCGGAGGAGGACCCACAGAATGTAGATGAAAAAATTGCATTTTGCAATTTCTATTTATCCGTTTTATGAATGTGGTGCTTGTGGTTTGTGTGCCCAGCCTATGTACTAAGAACGATTATAAGGGTTTACAAACACCTTCAAGCCAAAGCATCAAAAGCACGATAGCCAGGGAACTTATATTCTCAATAGGAGAGGTCAGAAAGGGTAGTCTAAAAAGTGTTTCCATGACAGGTGTACCTGTGCAAAGTAATTGTGGACTTCTACAGATAATGCCATTGCAGTGTTTATATAGGTGTGGTGACTATACCTAGGTGTCCTGCTCTGTGGCAGGAACTGAAACGTTAATAACAAATAGCTTTAACTAAAAGCAGTCATGGTACTTAACCCTTAACAATTGAACCTTTTCTAAGTTCATTCTGTGTATGTTTTATGCTTTTAGCCTTGTCATGTCACAATATACTGTGGATTTTGCATGCAACTAAATATTAACTTTAGGATAGAACTGTAACCTGCAACAGTCACAAGAAAATATTACTGTGCTAACTCGGTTACACTAATCTTTAAGAATACTGTTTTCTAGGCGTAGCCTGCCTTCCTTTTATCCTTCTATACACAGGAACATTTGATGCTTTTATTAAAAGTCGGACTTTGCTTCCCAAAAGTTTTCAGGAAGGGGTAGCCACATATTTAAATACTTTCAAAACAAGCTATTTCATTAGTTGACTCATGAGGAGGAAAAAATGATGATATGAGAAAATTAACTTATCCGTATTTTTGGTGCCAGTCATTTCATATTGAAGAATGAAGTGCATCATTTGTATACTTATGCTGCCTGCAGGCAATGCTTAGTAAAAATGTAATGCTGAATATACTGCTGAATCAGAATATAAATATAATAGCTTCAATTGTTACTTACCAGATCTGGAAGGCCTTCTATATGTATGACTAAATCTTCCTAAGATTTTGCTACTTAGTGTAGGGATGAAGTAGTTGGGTATATCATTTAGAAACAGTATACCGTGTTTCCCCGAAAATAAGACACTATCTTATATTTTTTTGGGCTAAAAAAAACAAAACCACACTAGGTCTTATTTTTGGGGTCGGTCTATAAAATATATATATATTTTTTTTTTTTTAATGTACAACAATCCAAAGTTAATTCAGATACGTGGTGCCGTACCTTTCCAAGAGCAATTTGGTAACCAGAATGAGCGAAGCGCGCTTTCACTATCGATTCCTCACAGGCAGAGTGCATTTGGTATCACTCCGCCTGTGACAGGAGTTGGCACTATAGAGGAAGCATCGGCTTATGCGGCTCTGCTCTCTCCGCCGCCCCCTCGCTTCCTCTAGCGCTGGCTTCGTTGGCACCGCTGATTCTGTAATGCCTCTCCAGCGGCTCTTTAAGTTCACCCTTAAGACACCACCGACCCTGTGAATGATCACAACTAGGTCTTATTTTCAGGGTGGGTGTTATATTTTAGCGATTCCCAAAAAACGTACTAGGTCTTATTTTCGGGGTAGGTCTTATTTTTCGGGGAAACACGGTAGTTCAAGCACTGGTTTACCTTGTAATGTAAATAAAGCATTTAACCTGTCACTTTGGCCATTTAGAACAAAGAAACCAGTTTGCATGATAGCCCACCTCCTATAATGTAGATATTTAAATTCCCTCATTCTCTACTGCACCCAATTTACCAACTAGAGTTGGTTAAAAATACCTGGTATGTTCTAATATTGGGGAGCATGTGAACCTCCTTTCTTACCATAGTGCAGTGGCCTGACCTGAGCACTGTCATGTGAGGATGACAGATGCTGAGCTTTAACAGGGTCCTTACTCATAGCTCTATTAGATGAACAGGGCACCATGGGGAGAGGAGGTGGTTTATCAAGAAACCCCATCACTAAGCCTTCTGTAATATACCACAGTTTTCAATGAATCTCTTACTTTTCCCTACCGAATAGTCGATTGGTAACTTGGCACCAGGCGTTCCTATATAGGGCTATTTATTTCTTCATGCTGTAGTGCTTGAAAACTCTTAGTAACGCTGGTCTATGATGTTGAGGTTGTTCTGGGGATGTCTTCAGCAGACCTGAGCCTCACCAATATGGCTACATGTAGGAAAAGATAGTTTTACCTAACCATGTCCTCCCAATAAAACTCTTCTGGTCTTCATGCATATTAGATCATGGCACTGCAATTGTAGAAGGTGATCAGGACCTTGTTTGTGAAAGGCAGTACTATGGAACAGAATTGCCTATTGAGGTTTTCTGCCACTATCTTCAAAACTTTCTCAATAAAGTTCTATGAGCTTGTATTCCAGTAGTTATAGTTTAAGTATAATACATACATAATTTGTTGCAACTGTGACTGATTGTTGTAATATCTTGGAGAAGCTGTGATTTCCTTTTAGAAATTACACTGTACTAAGAGGAATATTGTGATTTGCAGTGATACTATTACTTAGTGTTCTTTTAGTTTTTGATAGAGTGAGGAAGGGTTAGGAGCTATGTCAGGATTTTATTGCTGTCTGTGTCCTAGCTGGAGAGATTAAAAGATAGGTGTACTTATTCTTTTTTTGAGCTTAATCTATCCCACTGTCCTCCTCCTCCTCCCCCTCCAGATGCATACTTGCCTTGATCCATCGGCCACTGTTCTGCTTTTTGTTTACATCCAGCTGTGCAAATCTTCACTGTCTTGACCATGGCTAAACATTACAGTCCCATAGAGTTCTAAGGGACAGTCTTCGATCATCTCTGCCCTCGGGACACAGCACCATAGAAGTTTTTGAGGGAATTAATGTACAGGCGTGGCCAGGATAGCAAAGACTTACACAGCTGGAGGTAAAACAGTGGAACCGCGAGTGTCTAGTCAAGGCAAGTATGCATTTGTGAAGGGTGAGTTAGGTTATTGGAAGGGGCAAAAAGGAAAACTGTGCTTTGGTTTAAAGTGCACTTATCCTTTTAAATATCTATATCTGTCTTGCTGACCATCGCCACTATGGAGAAATGTCAACTCACTTCCTGCTATGTCTTGGAAAGATTTCCCTTCACTTCCTGTCCCTAACAGGACGCAGGCAGTAACAACAAACCCGGCAGGGATGCTAGCTATTCCCTACGCCATCCAAAATAAATGCGATTGTTCACCTTTTAATCAAAAATGAAAAGGTGAACTAGCTTACAATACCCTCCTGGTATCCGCTCACTTAGCTGCAGGGATGACCATTGGCTGCCAGCTGATATACCAGTAGCGGACTGGAACACTTCAGTACGCAGTCCTTTAGGCTGTGTAGCAACATAATACTTGTAGTGGTGAGCAGGTATTGGTCAGCAAGGTCACAAGGTGAAAAACTATACAAATTGTCCTGTGTTAACCTACATAACCTTTGCATGGAAATCAACATCCTTTTTGTGTAAGAATGATGTAAGAAAGAATGCCGAGTGACAACGTACCTTACAGATTAAAAGTACAGTAAATTTTCAATTTTGTCATTTCACAGATTGAACAAAATCATTTGTTGGGATTGGTTGCTGTGGGCATTGCAGTGCTGTGCTCAGGATTTGCTGGTATGTCATTTGCAGTTTTCTCTCTTGTACCTGAAGGATTCTGTGTGTTTAATATTGTAGATTGTGTGTATGGTTTCATGTGTTTTATACATGTTATAAATCTACAAATAGTATTGACATTTATCTGATTTGTTCTCTGTAGTTTTGGACAGCATAAAGGAAGGTTATAACCCCTGTCATTTCTTTTTTTTTTTACATTTGTGTCCCATTGGGGAGATTTCCCTTCCCTTCTTGTCTGATGGCTACAACAGGAAGTGAGCAAAAATCTCTTCAAAGTGAAGGGAAATCCCTGGTGGTCACCAGAAATCGTGCCGTCATTGGAAGATTTCCAATACTTTTCCTGGTCTGGTGACAACCCAAAATTTGTGATTTTTGTTATAACTGTTACCAGGACACAGACCGCAAGAAAAACCTGACAAGCGTTCTAATCCCTCTCCACTCTATCCAAAACTAAAAAATAAGTTTTGGCTTCGGTTGCACTTTACCTTTGGGTTATTTTAGCTATTTTACCAAAAGGAAAACCTGCATAATCAGTAAAGTATTTTTTGTATTGTATGTGAATGAATACCCTCACATACTGCATTTCCATTTTTGTTTTATTGGAAATGAGGGAACCATTGATCCCTCATTGCAGCATATGACCAAAAACTATAAAAGCCAGTGATAGCTGATATTGCAACGTGGATATAAGCCAAGATATTTTCCATCTGCTGTGTAAATACTAAAGATGGCTGTAGCAAATCAATCTGTCACAAAACCTGGAGCTTTGGACTTGGGGTATGATAGGGGAAAAGTAGGGGGTCACCTTTGGTGAAAGCAGCATTCCAAAACAATTAGCCGATACAAGTAGCTGGAGTTACATGCAGATCATAACTCACCTCCCCCTCTGCCTCCCTATTGGTTAATGAGGTCACCCATCACATTAAAGAGAACCTTTTAGGATAGAAATATGAGAGTTGTTATTGTGTTTTTTAGGGTGCAGGCTCGGGGGCTGACACACTTATCCTGGCTTCACAACCTTGCAACAAGTCTTCAGGCACTGAAATATGAAAAGTCAGAACTCCTGTTTTACATGTTTTATTCCAATTAGTGACACACCATGTAGCAAAACCTGGATCAGTATGATCATATTGAACCAGCAATGGTAGCTCCCATAATTTTATACACACAGGTTCTTGGGCTCCAGGAGCCCAGAACTGACAGCCCAGGGACCGGAAGTGATGCAATCTGCATCGCTCCCATAGAACGGGGAGGGGATCGATGAACGGAAGTTCGTCGACCTCCTCCCCAGCTCCCCGCGGACACCAAGATCGCCGGTCCCGGGCCCGTAGGAGGGGCAACGGAGCCCGGGAAGCACGGCGGGGGGGCGGCCCCTTCTTCGGGACGCAGAAGCGATATGTTTCGCTTCTGTTGTAAAGCCGACAATCGGCTCTACAAGTTTAAACAGTCCCGGCGGCAAAAGTCACCGGGAGTCTGTTTAAACAGCCCCGATGCTGGCGACGTACACTGTACGTCACGAAGGGGTTAAAGTGGAACTTTACTGTTTGGGGTCCCCAGGAGCTCTTGGCATAATGTGCAAGTACCTACAGCGTGTTAGCACATTACCCTATTAGCTCTTCTCCAGCGATGCGTTCCTATTCTCCTCTGTCATTACTATGGATGCACCGATACTAATATTGGTACCGATGCCGAGTATTTGGGCGAGTACTCGTACTGGCCCAAATGCTCCGATGCCTAACCTGATACTTCCGGTATCAGGAAACTGGGCAGCGCGTCATTACACGCTACCTGGCTTCCTGATTGGCCAGGAAGCCGGCTCCACTTGTGACGAGGGAGCATGGAGCCGGCTTCCCAGCCAATCGTGAAGCTGGGCACCGGGTCATTACACAGTGCCCGACTTCCTGATTGGCCAGAAAGCCGGCTCCTGCTTTCTCATCACCTAGTGACGAGAAGCATGGGGATGGCTTCCCTGCTAACCGGAAGCCGGGTGGCAAGTCTTTACATGCTGCCCGGCTTCCTGGCTAATCGGGAAGCCAGGTGTCGAGTAATTACACGCCGACTGGCTTCCTGAATGGGTCTTCGGTACTCGGTATCGGCGAGTACCAAAAAAAAAAAAAAATCGGTACTTTGTACTAGATACTGAAATACCAGTAATGGTGCATCCCTTTTACCCCTGCCATCCTCTCCCAGGTTTCTTCCTGGTATGGTTTTCTCCTCCATTGGCTGGGCCTAGATGATGTAACTCCACACATTTTACACGGGAGTTGCTTCATCCTGTCACCATGTTACAGATTCTGGATTATACAAGGAGCTGTGCTTGCACAGCATTAAGTGTGCAGTAATGTAAATAATTGCTAGGAGGCAGAAAAGATATATCAAGTCTCATCTACCATAAAAACCTACCTGCTAGCAATTTTGTACAAGTTAACTTAGCTCTGCTGTAAAGAACCAGCAAGCTGAACTTGTCCAAAATGTGATTTTTGCAGCAATAGTTGAGCTTGGCCACACTGCTTGTCACCCTCACATTTGTCTTGATATGTGAGGGATGACCTTTTGGGTTTTGTATATAACTTCAGGCATATTCCCGTTGATCGAATGCATAGTAAAATCTGTGTACCTGAGACACCATGATAGGACAGAACTAGCAACCTGGCTCCTGGACTCCCTTAGAGAGTAGTAAATCGACGTATCACGATCTACCCTGATATTAAGTGTCAGTGAACTGGTTGTTTAATGTGTAACTTTAGTGTAACAGAAAAGTTAAAGTTCACCTTTTGTTCAAAAACCCCTCGCTTGACCCATCAATATATTTAGATGTGATTAATGCTACCCCCACGCGGCCTGCAGTCTAGCCAGTAAAAATGTAGTGCAGGTCTGCCTTTGCCTGCTCACTGCTGTCCTTTAGATGTAAATGGGACATGTATCCTACAGTATGTATGGTTTTATTCAAGTTTAGGAAAATTTTGCTCAAGCAGCCCAACAATAGATTTTTTTAACAGCAGTGCTAGATAAAACGTGGGAGGCCACAGCTATCAGACAATGTAGGTATGGACCTGCCGGGGGCACAGCGTAATGTCTTGAGGGGGCTAGGGAGGGATTTTTGAACAAATGTGAACTGTAACACCAGTTAAGAAGTGCTGAGAATATGGAACTAACGAATGCAGGTGTCTGATAAAACTTTTATTCTGATAACTCATTTATGTTTTCCAGGAGTGTATTTTGAGAAAGTGTTGAAGAGTTCAGACACTTCCCTATGGGTGAGGAACATCCAGATGTACATCTCTGGCATCGTAGTGACACTAGCTGGTGCCTTTCTTTCTGACAGAGAAGGCATTATGGAAAAGGGCTTTTTCTATGGCTACAATCACCTTGTCTGGTTTGTAATTTGTAAGTACAACCTCAAACATTAGCAAACACATCTCCTGAAATAGTTTTGTCCTGAGAAGTACAGATTTTCATATTAACATGGAGAAAATAATTCAGCCATTTGGAAAAATGTGTAGCCTCTTGGCCAAGTTATGCAGTACATGAGCAGAATTGATGTAACAGTATAATATGTATATCATACTAGGCCTTGGCACACATGGTAAACTGCAGCATTAGAAATGAGGCCTGCTTTATGGGATTCACAGTGGCCATCTATCTGTATTCCTATAGACATAATATATCACCATTGTTTAAAGTCTAAGAAAACATGTGACCTGCATTTCAATCTGTATTTTTCTACCTTGATTCTATTTATACATTGCTATGATTTGATTATAATAGACAGCTGTTAATGGCTTTCTGTTCTTCTCACAGTACTGGCTAGTGTTGGTGGCCTTTATACTTCGGTGGTGGTAAAATACACAGATAACATCATGAAGGGCTTCTCTGCAGCAGCAGCCATTCTCATATCAACCATTGCCTCAGTGTTGCTGTTTGGCTTACAGATAAGTATGTTATTTGAAAACTGTACCTTTTTTTTTTTTTTTCTCACGCTCATGCAAACTTTCTTCCTTTTTTGATTTTAGTAAAGCAATGTCCTTGCAGTTAGTGGATCATTTGTGTATACAGTGTTTGAATGTAGTATCTTGGTCTTAAGCAGAAAGAATAGTGCAGTTATTGTCCATACTTCTTTTTTTCTCCCTTCAACCCATTTCCAACCAATGATGGAATTATCCTATCAAGATCGGTCAGTTCTTAACGACCAGTGCCGGGGTAATCCCGTCATTCGGTACAATGAGCGTAGGTCCATGAAGGGACCAGAGCTCATTGAGATACTGCTATTGCTGGGTCCCCTCGGGGTCTGAGGCAAACCCTCAACAGCAGATTAGGTGGTCAGTCTGTGATTGCAGCGAAAGCTGATCACTGTGATCGCAGGGCTGTGACAGACAGAGACGGCAGCAGCTCACTGTGCTGTAAATCTGCTAGCCGGCTGTGTGTTAAGGTGCCCACACACCTTGCGATAATTGTACGATTGTTTTTACTGTACGGTCGCACGACTTATCTTAGGAACATGTTTGAGAATCGTACGATTGTCGGCGGGTGTGTGGCATGCTCATAAGATAAATGCCGCACGGGCCGGTCTGCGCGCAAGCGCACACTGCCCATTCAGCGTTGCGGGCTTGCGATTATCGCAAGTACGATCTGCCTGTCCAAGATGGGCAGATCATACGTTTTTTTAAATTACCTTACAACTAGCGCAAGACAAAGTAAGGTCTGTAAGGTCTGTGGCAAGCATTACAAAGTATCTCTGAGGAGAATACTCAGAGATACTAAGTTTCACCCTGTAAATAAGAAAGAAAAAAAACTAATAACCTCTTAGTGCCCCTTTGGCCAGCTGATTTGAAAAATGTTCCGGAGGGCTTGGCAGCGAAAGGGTTAAAGGGTATGTAAACAATAAAGCTGGCCTTACCCTCCTCAAATCCATTGATTTCCCCATCCATCCTAACCAGTGTGGATCTTGGAAGGGCCGCTGCTGGCTATTGCATTCAGCAGAAGCTGCTGAATACCCCGCCAGAGCCTGCATCTGATTGCAGGTGCTGTTCAGGTGAAACATTTTGGACCGGCTCTGTTGACACAAGTGGAGGGTTGTTGGCAGGGATACCCATGGCTTGAAGTCTGTCAGGTTCCTGATGAATCTGCTTACAGAACTTGCTTTTCATTGTATGGCCAGCTTACCAATGAACTATTTTATTTAGTCCCTGTTGATCTTGCCCCATCTGACTGTGCGTCATTCTTTTCAATTACATTAGTCTAAGCTATCTCTGAGGACCGCAGAGCCCTGTCAGTCTATGATAAGATGGGGGGGGTGTCTCTCTGTAGTCCTGTCTCTGGGGTGACAACGCTGCTTCATTCAAACCACACTGGATTTATAGAGTGGTGTCACCCTAGGACTGGAAATATGTTACTGTCAGGATCACCAGCTGAAAACAATAGCAGCCACCTCATCTAAGGACTGGTAAGCTGTCATTTATGACATTGTTGTTCTTGGATATGCTGTAAGAAACATTTTAAGCTCTAGTACTGCGAGCCTGACAGCTTTCCTTCAGTTTTGCTGTGAGTGATGCAGTCCTTGCCCTTGGTAACATGACATTATACTGTAATCTAGCTGATTTGTATGAGATCTAATGACTAACACATCTTTCCTTCCATTCTGGTACCAGAATACCAACAAAGGTATTGTTTACAAGGTCAGTCTTTTCACAGAATATTTTTCTTTTCCTCCTAGCATTAACCTTTGCGATTGGAGCCCTGCTTGTATGTGTGTCCATATATACCTATGGATTGCCCAGGACAGACACAACAAAGCTTGAAATACAAGGGCCCAGCAGTAGCGCCAATGAGAAACTAATCCACGTATGATTAACATCGAAGGACTTGATTGTGTAGACAGTGTAATATCTGTATTTCTATTGATGTTTCAGTCCAGAAGGTCAGGAGCTACCATTGCAGTAGTGGATACTGCTCAGCTATGGAAAGCATCTCTGCAAGTGAATGTAAAATATGCAGTGCCATTTGAAGCACAGATCAATCAAAAGTTTCTCATACTGTATCAAGTGATTATGTATATAGTATATTATGATGATCGGATTTGTTAAATTAATGTATTAAACATTCCAGCTTCGAAGTGGAATGGACAGACTATGAGAAGGCATGTTTGGAGTCTTGAGAGCTATACTACACACTGAGTGTAGACAGTCTAGATGTCTGTTTAACAGATGCTGCTTATGAGAATCCCATTTCTCAAAAGACTACAACTTCCTTGTCTATTATTCTTTCGAGCATTCACCAATGATTCAGCAGTACCACCCTTGGAGGATACCACAGTAATTTATTTTGCACTTCCTTTAAATACTTTTAAGTGTATGGTTTTTATATATACGTGGCAGTAGTAAACATGGAATTGTTTTTTAATAAAACATTTTTACCAAAGCCTTGAGTCAGTATTTAAACTGTGTACAATATTTTCATGATGTTAAATGTTTACTTACTATGGTGGTAGGTGTGGCAGCTACCATAGTTTCCTGCATAAATTACCATAGAAATACATTCTTTGTCAGTGTGTACAGACACTTAATTACGGCAGTGTTCTGAAAATATCATATGTTAATCCATAATTTATAAACGTCTCTCGATCTGCACAATGTTCTAAAGTTGGCTTGTCAACAGCAGAATTCCATGTTGACTGTAGGACAGCTTAATGGAGCCTGCACATATTAATTTGGGCTTTGGGAGTGCTCTAATATACAAATACCAACAATGCCTGGCAGTGTTGCTTAAGCTGGCCATATACCCATAGCTATGGTCAGATGGAAAAAGTGCAACAGATTGCTCCAGCTACGCTAAACTGTGTGGATGGAGGAATCTCCCACAGGGCCAAGCCTCAGTACCTTGCTAGTCAGCACCGCTGGCTCCCAAAGTACCTGAACAATGCATGCATTCAATCAGATTAAGGTATTTTGAGAGCCAGCAGGGGCGGACTAGCAAGATACTGAAGTTTGGCCCAGTGGGCGATTCTACCATCAACACAGTTTCGGTTAGATGGAGGAATCTGATGCATTTTTCTATCTGACCATAGAAAATCTATAGGTATGAGGGAGCATGGAGCTGGCTTCCTGGCCAATCAGGAAGCATGTAATGACTCACTGCCCGCCTTCCTGATATCAGAAGCTCAAGTATCGGGCTAGGTATCTGAGCATTTGGTTGAGTACGAGTACTTGCCCATATACTCTGCATTGATACTAGTATCGGCATCAGTGCATCCCTACTATGCACACTAGTATTTACATATTCTGCACAAACAATAAAACAACATTTACTTCAGTAGCTATAGCCATTGTGGAGAACTTCATTTTCAAAATTCAGAATAGCGGTAAGGAAAACTTGGCCAATTTTCCCTCTACTTTCGATGTAGAGAAATCTTTGTAGACTGCCAGCCCTTTCATGTAAATAGAGCATGTGTTTTATGGCTGGAAACAGTCTCAACATTTGAGTCTTTATGATCCTTAATGAATTACCTTCTGCCCTTGGCATACACTTTAACAGAAGCCACGGACAGAGCAGTAAGAAGGGCATGAAAATGTTGCAGGTAACCTTGTGGTTTTCAGGGGTGGCAGCCATGGCTACCAAATGATCAAGCACAACCTTTTTGCAGTTTTATTAAAAAATAGTTATGATACATGGCACTTAGAGATGTTTAAATTACATTTTATCAACCGGAGTAATACCCAAAAGTCTCATTCCGCTGGCCAAAACTACACGGACACTGTTGAAAAAGAGAAGGCGGGCCTGTGGAAAAAATAAAATTTACACGAGCTGTATGTAAATACATAAAGTTAATGATACAGTAGAAATAGTTGAAAATCAGCTAAACAAATAATGTACCATTGGAACGTCAGTCAGAGAATGGGAAAAGGTTAGCACATCTGTTAACCCTTTCACTGCCAAAACCTTTTTTCTGTTTATCAAATGTTAACCACATTTTAGGCCTGAAAATTAATTCAACCCCCCCTCCCCAACATATTTTCTGAAAGCCAAGACCCTGTAGAATAAATGGTGACAGTTGCAAATTTTTATGTTGCACAATAGCAAGCTTGTTCCAGTGGAGTGCTGTAAATACAGTATATGGCTTTTTTTTGTTCCATCCGTGCGCACGAGCACAACACACTGACAGGTGTAAATAGCTGTCCGATTGCTTTTGTGATATGGTGGACAAATCTATAATTTTGCCACTTTACAGATCAATGGTTCGGCCGCATCTGGAGTATGTGGTCCAGTTTTGGTCACCAATACTCAGAAAAGATGTCCTTGAGCTGGAAAAAGTCCAGAGGAGGGCAACAAAACTCATTAAGGGGTTCGAGGACCTAAACTATGAAACAAGGCTGTTAAAATTAAATATGTTCTCGTTGGAGGTTAGGAGATTAAGGGGGGCATGATATTCTTGTATAAACTGTGCAATGGTGACAGCAACATTGTTAACAAACTGTTCATTGGTGGAAAAAAATCTTCAACACACAGGGCGCAAGGGGTTCTTCACAGAGCGGTTAAGGTCTGGAACTCGCTGCCCCAAGAAATTATTTCAGCTAAGAGTGTGGAAGCATTCAAGAAACTCTTGGACGAGTTCCTCGGAGAGCATAACGTACAGGTACGCCTAAGAACAAGATCACACATGGACTCATACACACGCACACACCTGCTCAAACATAAATGCACACACGCAATAGGTTGGACTTACGTCTTTATTCAACCTCAAATAGTGTGCGTGCCCCTCCTTCAGCACCACCGTTGCCTTCTATCCTGGGCTACGCCGCTCTCAGCAGGCAAATCGGAGGGAGCTCAGCAGGTGGAACAATGCTGATCTGTGAATGCGGAAGTGCTGTGTATTACGTGCTATAGCCAGAGAAGAAGCTGGTGAAGCAGATTTGTGCACTCTGCTAATATTTCCATAAAGAGGACCCGTCAGTGTGCCTGCGCCATCACCTAGGGGGATAGTTATCCCCCTAGGTGATAGCTATAACATTAAGTGTAAAAAAAACAAAACATAAAATGCCACCGCAAATGTTTGAGCAATAATTTTAGGGCTATCAATCACTGATCGCACTAAACTGATAAGCAGTAAAAGCTTTTGAATTGTCGCCTATTGGCAATTTTGGGTATTGTAGGGTTTTTTTTTTTTGTGGGCACACGCAATTTAAATGGCTTGACATGTTTGGTGTCTATTTACCTGATGTGACCCCATCTTTTATATTTTACCAAACAATTGGGCAATGATAAATGTTTCATAAAACTTAAAATAGGGGAAACGTTTTTTTTCCCAAAATGTTCTGTAATTTTTTCTTTATAGTAAAAAAAAATTAAAACCACAGTGGTGATTAAATACCTCGAAAAGAAAGCTCGATATGTCCCCAAAAAAATGGTATAAAATTAATTTCAGTACAGCGTTGCATGACGGAATAAATGTCAAAGTACTACAGCGCTGAACACTGAAAAATGGCCTGGACATGAAGGAGTTAAGTTAAATGTAATGCCCCAAAACACAATCTCCAAAAAGAGAATTCAAACTTCAACTAATAAGAGCCCTGATGAAGGGGTAGCAGTGTTGTTGCACCCGAAACACATTGGCTCTTTTTACTTTGTGATCGAATAAATTAAACTTCTTGGACTTTTTTCCCGCTTGCTCTGGTGACCATTCAATATACAGGCCACTTTAGTAGTTACACCTGTTCAACTGCTTGTTTAAGGCAAATATCTAATCAGCCAATCACATGGCAGTAACTTAATCATGGTTGCTAGTGCCACAACTATCTCTACGGTCTGAGAAAAGAAAAACTGAGCCGCAGTTTTCTGGAGGAACATGCCTTGTTGATGCCAGGGTCATGTATTTTAGGTATACTTTACATCACTTCCTGTTGAGTCATGAGTTTCTGAATGGGGAGAAGTATTCACTACAGAGGCTACTACCCATTCTTAACTGGATGATAGTTTGGATTCGTTTGCATTCGTTATGTCTGTAATTCAGAATTCGGATACATCTGAATGTCCGAATTTACGAAAATTCCTCCTGAATTTCGATTCGGAATGAAACGAATCGCACATGTCTAGTAAACACTATCTCCAGTTTGTGAAAGAATGGGAAGCCTCTGTACTGAGTGCTTTGGCTACAGAAAAAGAGGCCGAGGCTCTGCGTTCTCAATTTCTTTTTTTATTTCAAAAGGACAAATTTCAGAGGTCTAAGCAGACCCCTGACATTTCCCCAAAGCTCTCTTTCTTCCCCCCCCCTACAAAAAAAAAGGGGACCCACAACACCCACC